ATGTGAATAATGTAGATCTCTATACGAGGAAGTATGATGTGAGTGACAGTATGATGAGTGCATGTGTACGTTTTGTGTGTGTGTACAAACGTGCGTGTGCGTGTGTGTGTGTGTGTGTGTGTGTGTGTGTGTGTGTGTGTGTGTGTGTGTGTGCCAAATGGGAATCACGGGGGATGATCTAAATGAGTCAACTTTTAAGCCAAACTGTATAGGAACTTACTGTAGTCTACTAACTAAACGCTCCATTTTTTCGTCGACTCTTGGTGTAGGGGACGTTGGGGTGGACGTTACGTTTGCATGTGATCATCTGGAAAAAGATAGCTTAGGCTGGTGGTACCTCTGAAGTTTTGTTCTATACAAGATATACATCTTTACTCTATTTGAGATTTTTTTTTTAATCTACCCCAATGTTACATTTACAATGCTACGTTTTTCACTACGTATCTTTTCTGTAAAAGCAGAAGGAGCAAAGATTGTTCTAAAATAACCTCTATTTTAAAAAGAAAAAAATGTTTTTAGCATCAAGAGTAGCTATAGCTGTAGTATTGCACATAGATTGCGATGTAGAGCATGCATACAATGTTTTGTTTCTCTAGAAAACAGGATGTAAAAATTCCCCGACAGCAGGATTTCAGCAGTAACAGTGTCGTTCAAAATCTTTACGATTGATAAAGGATAAATATTTTGGTGATTTGGGTTAGGATCAAACTTGATTTTTCTCAGGCCGAGCTAATTTGTTGTCCTTCCAGTCGGATTTAATTTAATTTCGTATTCTTGAGTCTTAATCAGAGAAGCAGATTTGTGTAAGATCGCGGACATAAAAACTATTCGGAATCTTATTTTGATCCGAGCCTTCGTGTGTACTTAAGGCGTTTTGTATAAAATTAAGAAATGTGCTTGGGGCAGATAAATGATACATTTATTAATAATGAACAATAATTAGTTCAGTATTTTAACTTACTTAACAATGCTGACAACTGGCGTCTTTTGTATATAGGTTAGGCTCATAGCCGTTGTATGCAGAAAAGTGAGCATGGTTTTCAAGGTCGAAAACTTCTTTTTTCTTTAGTTATATCTGTTTACTGTAATATGATGTTTCTCGCTCTGTCGGAGATGGCCGCAACAGGGAGGAATGAAACAGACCGCACCCCCCC